ACAGACAGACAGACAGAAAAAGTTTTTTCCGACCAGACGGAGTAATAGGCTTCACTAATCGCTCAGCCAATCATGCATTTACATTTTGAGATTCCGAACAAAATTAATTTATGATTCACCAATGTAATTACACTATATATTCAAACTTACAGAGGTATCAAACTGAGTAATCAATTGCATTTTAACTGTGGGCACGGCAGAATTCTTCAACCGTTTCTTTAACTGACATGTGTAATCAGAAATATTATATGTAACGTACACAACTAAAAATGCTCATGCAAGGAGTAAAGTGGTTGTGATGACACTTTTTCAGTATCACAAAATTGCACCCATTTTTCAAGTCTGAAATTATCACAAGGTAATCAGTAAGTAATTTATTTTAAACACCTCCTAAATTTAGAATATATTTACCTTTGTATTTTGCCAGGATCCTCCACAGCTTCTCTTCCGACAGTTTTGTAAATAGACGGAAATGTATGCAGCTTAACTCTACCATCGCAACCTGATGCTGAACATCTCCTCTTCGATGCTATTTTTTGTAGATCAGTAATTTTCTCACTACAGTTGACATAACTGGTTGGCACGGGTGAGTTAAATTCACAAGGATGTGGTATGAGGTAATTTATTACGCGTCCAATGAAAGTACACTCAAAGAGAACTATTCACATAGAGATTTCAAGGTCCAGATTAAACCTCATTGGGAATCCATAATACCATTGATGTGCGGGTTCAGCAGAGCGTGGCAAAGAGAAGACTTCGACCGGCCAAGGGAAATGTTGCTGCACCTAAGATAAAAGGAAAATTGAATACAAGTTACGACGAGGTTAAACTTGTCATTACACCGCAGTAAGTTTAGCAATGAAAAGGAAAGCGCTTGGCATGCATACCCAACATACCTGGGCAGAAATCAAACATGCTGTTGCGGTAGTGGGCGCGCGCCGTAAGAGCGAACTGTCACAAGCGCGACTCGTCGTAAGCGCGAATGCCGCAAGCGCGACCCGGCGCAAGCGCGAACGCCGCAAGAGCGAACGACCGCAAGCGCGAAGTGTCGGAAGCGCGACCCGCCACAAGAGCGAACCTCGCGTGGCACAGCTTACGCGCAAGCGGCTTACCACGGCTAGACGGGCGAGATCGACGCGTAGGTCGAGAGGGTCTCACAGTCGTGTATGAGGGATTCAGAAGAACTCTGGTCGTTGATTGTGTTCTGCTGCTGCTAAACCGTGACCAGCCTTGACATCGGTTTGCTGTCTATGTTACGTGTACTTGTATTGGTAAAACGTTCATCATATGAATGTCCCTGCACAGTTCCTCCGAATCCCTCATATACGACTTCGAGACCCTCTCGACCTACGCCTCGATCTCGCCCGTCTCGCTGTGGCAATAGTCTTCCCAGCAAAAGACTAGTGCTGCTCAAAAGGGCTGATAGAGGTCCAATCCAATGGCTTCGCTTGGACTTCGGCACCTGTGGCTGGGGGATGGAGTAGGATAGCGAGTCGCGGTCGCGAGGCGTGAGTCCCCTGTCGCGGGTGTCCTATTCTAAGTGATCGCGGGCCCGTTCGCGGGTGTCCTTCAGTGATCGCGGATCCTTTCGCGGGGGTTTGCGGTGTCCTTTCGCGAATTTCCTCGCGGACACAATCGCGAGGACTCGCGAAGACTGTTGAGATCCTTCGGGAGTTATTCACTGTAAAAAAAATCCATCTTAATTTTAAGAACAAGTGTTTGGAAGCAATTTACAAAACAAATTTGCTCTTAAATTTAAGAACAAATGTTTTATGAAAATTAAGAACATGTTTTGAAAATTAAGAACGTGTTATGAAACGACAAAAATGCTTTACTGTTCTAGCCTAACGCAAAACTGGAAAATATTTAGATCTTGTTCCTACGGACAGATGTTCAAACCTGACTTTGTACACATTATAGTTATTTACCTCAACTTACCTGGGTGGATTCGAACCTCGGACCTTTGGGTTCGGATCCTGACGCCTTAGACCGCGCGGCTGTCGGGACATACCTGTGCAGGGAACGATCGCACCCGACCTTATGCGGCGCTCCGTCCAGGGGCATTCCCAGAGTAGCTATGTGCTTGGTCGGACGGCGTATGTTTGTTAACTGGTTTTTTTTTTGACATTTCGCTCTGGCATAGCTACATTTCGCTTATCTAATTTGATGATGTTCATCCAATTCTATATTGAACACCAAAATTCTATGTCCAGTGGTCGGAAGCTGCATGACTTTTAACAAAATTGTTTTGAAAAGTCACACTTATTCTTACTTTTAATACTAGCATTCAGAACACTTCTTAAAACTAAGAAAATCTTTTAAATTTAATAAACTTGTTATAAAATTTAATTACCCTTATCAGAATTTTCATAACCTGGTTTGCAAAATTAAGAAAACTTCTTAAATATCATAATTTGTTCTTACGTTTAAGAACAACTGAAAATGTTATTAAATTTAAGATACATTTTGGTCTTAAATTTCAGAATATTTTTTACAGTGAATTCAATATAAACTTGGACAACCCTAGCCCAGTGAGAAATGAGTGTTCGAATCGACCTCGAATCGACGTCGACCGCTCCGTTGGTCCTGAGACGAAGTTGTCGACGAAATTTCGATGTTACTTGAGAAGTGCCCTATGACACGGCTTAACTCAGCTAATGGGTCTTAAAGTGTTACAGAACGGTTCCTGGTACTAAATTGCAAGAAATTTCGTATTGTACATGATCGATGTCGATTCGACGTCGATTCGAGATAGGGTCTTCCCCTGACTGTACAGTTAGCTCTCGCTGGTGACCCGGAACGCCAAAACAACTATAGTCAGGAGACGTGTCCCCTCCAATGCGGGAGGCGTCAGTCATTTCACCTCCTGCAGTGATTTTTGGAAGTGATGGGGACGTGTGTGCCCATGGGCACCAACAGTCGCTACTGGACTAGCTCAACCGTTAAAATTCATCCTTTAAGTCCCTATTCGATAAGTTATCGAAATAGTCGATGTCGAAAACACGTCGATTGGCGGGACAAAATCCCGTCGATTCGACATTTGGAATCGACAATTTTTCGACCTGCCCAATCGACTTCGATTCGAGGTCATATTCGATCAAAAATACTGGCTAGACGTGAAATCTATTGGCCGAAAATGGATGCAGCAATAGAAGAGATGTGTGAGCTTGCAATGTTGTTAACTTCAAACCAATGAAAACCTATGTGCCATGGCCTAATACTGGCAGGCCTTGGGCCCGCATACATATTGATTTTTTTCAATATAAAAATTTCAAGTTTTTAATTGTGAATGATCCGTTCTCCAAGTGGATAGAAGTGAGCCTACCTAGGTCTCAAACTGAAGCAAAAGATGTAATACTGCTCCTGAAGATTATGTTTGCAACCTTTGGTCCACCTCTGGCAGTAGTGTCTGACAATGGACCACCATTCCAGTCAGTTGAGTTTGCGAATTTCTGCGCTGAGAAGAACATTGTGTTACTGCATTCCCCCAAGTACCACGCTCCTTCAAATGGCTCAGCGGAGAAGGGAGTAGACACCGCCAAGAAAGTGTTAAAGAAGCTGATCGACGACAACGCAACCAAGACAGACATTGTACTTGCTGTATTAACTTTCCTGGAAACATACAGGAACACTCCATCTACCGTAACTGGGTTGACCCCTGCTGAACTTGTGTTTTCCTTCAAACCCAGAACAGGATTAAATTCCTTGAACCCCAGAAATTCTGACCTCACAAAGGTGAATGTTCCTGCATTTGTGGTGGGAGAGAGAGTGAGATATAGATCTAAGAAAGGAGACAAAGTGTATGAAGGCATAGTGGAAAAAGTTTTAGGGAAGACCACTTACTATGTGAGAACTGATGATGCCGTTCATTTAGTGAGCTTCAATCAACTCAACAGATGTGTTCCAATAATTGCCCAAGGAGAGAAGCAAGTGCCCAACAATTCATCTGACCCAGATTATAAAGCTCATTATGAACAATTGTTATTGTTACAATATAAGAATGCTCCTAAATATAACCAACCTGTCATTCCAAATCCATCCCCTACTAGAAATGTTAATCCTGAAAGCCTGTCTGTTCCAATAAGTGTTCAAAGTCCAGCTGTTGATCCTGCTGTCACTCCAAGCGAGGAAAATTTAAGAGTGCCCGATGAAAATAATAATGGTCTGACAACCCCTGCCAGCGATCTGTCAGTCCCACGTAGGAGTTCAAGAGTTGTTCGACCACCAAAATTCATCACTGAGAATTATGTAAATTTGTGTGGGAAGGTTGATGTGTATCCATGCACCTGTGAATGATGTTATGTTGTCTTTTGTTTGGAAGGTTACCACTTCCGGTTCCTGTTTTTAGTTCTTGTCAAATAAATCAAGTGATCATATAGTGCCTGTTTAAATCGGTCCAATCCTTCGCAAGAAAACCTAGTTCAATGAACGAACATATCACGTATAAGTCATCTGCTTTCACGTGAGCGTTAATGTGACTAAGACAGACTCCACCAGAAGGAAAAGTCCGAAAAGTCCCCACCCCCGCTAAGGTGTAACGTAGATAGGTGGGCGCAAGCGCTCCTATTGGGGGAACCACTTCCCTCGTCACCCAATGACAGGTCAGCGCGGGGAGGGATTAACAAGCCCCAGGCCGTCCCAGACTCGAGCCGGCCCTATGCTACCTGTACTACCTGCTAGGGATTTCAAACCGACCGGCGGAGCGGCGGGAAGGAACCGTTTTCCCCGACCACTCCCGCTTGCGGCCACCTATCCTCTTTATCACCTTAACCCCCACTCCTCCCCTCCGTGCTATCTACAGCGCAGAGCGGGCGACCTGCCCCCTGGCAGTCCTTTTTGATTGCCAAATTTGGCCTCCTTGTGAAAGAAGGCTAACTTGTAGCAAGCAAAGAGGCCAAACATTGGCAGCATTCAACGAGACGACCAAAATTTTGGCAAGCAAGGAGGCCAAAAATTGTCAGCCTCCAAAAGACGGCCAAAAGGCATTAACATTGTGGGTGAGCTAGGCGAGGAAATTGGGGAGGGGGCGCTACCGCTGCCTCGCTGTTTCCCCGTTCGCCAGCCGCTGCCGCTGCCAAACCGATGTGCTCCCTGCGATCCCGGACCGCGGTCAGCCCTGTAGTAGCTAGCTACTTGAGCTGTACGAAAAACTGAGGGGCCTTGTTGCCTGGTCAGAGGGACTGTCTCTTACTTAGCCCTGTGGGCTACTTTTTTTTTTCAGGGACCAAGCAGAAGTAATTTTTAATGCAGGGCGAGGTGCAGCCCCCTCCTCCTCCGGCTGTCAGTCCAAGAAAGCCGCCTGAGAGGTAGACAGTACGCTGTTCAAAACCCCTGTAGGTAGGCGACACATAGCACATCGCCCCTGTCAGCCTACACACTGGGGGCCATGTGCGCACCTAATAGTAATTCCCCCCCCCCCCTCTCCCTCCCTCCTCCTAGAAACGATAATAGGTCAGTCGCGTCTGATCCCGTTTGAACGTTGATCGGTCAGGGATGACGTCACTGAAGTTGTCAGCCAAACCGTGCTGAAGGGAACAGGTGCGGCGCGTGTGCTTTTCTTTTCCAGCAGATTTCCTATTGATTGTGTTCATGCATGGCACTTCCCTGGACCGCCAGGAGCTGGGCGGTGGCACAAGGTGAGGTGGCGAAAAGTGGGGGGTGGCGTCGGGGCAGCGTTGCCGGCCAGATGCATTCTGAAACTCTATGGTGGGGGGTATGGAAGGCTCGATGAATCAAAATCGACAGCAGAACAACTAGCGCTCTCGCGCTGCCCTTCCAGCTCCCTTTCGCTTTCCTTGTCACCTCAGACCGGAGCGAAATCTAGTGCCTTGCGAGTAGCCAGAGTGACCACAAGTAGTTAGTACAAACGTGCGTCGTAGTGCGTCGAGTTCGTCTGCGTCGGAAACGGACGCGGGAGCCCAGGGTACGATACCAGGCGGACCTCGGGGTCAAGATCAACTCGTTCAACCTCAAGAAACAGCTCCGAAGAAGCGGCAGAAGCGTGAAGCCACTCACCCTGTCCACAAAATTCTCCAGTTCCATGAAGCCGACAACGATTCTTGGTGCACCGTGAGCGGCTGCACATACAAATCGCCTGCACCCAGAAAACCGTTTCTTTGATGGAACGAAATCACAAACTGACGATATTTTCGTTGCTACGAAGAAAATTTTCTTCAGATCAAACAAAATTTGTTTAATGTGACGAAACTTTCGTTATTTTAAATATTTTTTTTCGTTATATGAACGAAAAAATTTCTTTGATTTCTGGCACGAAATTTTCGTTAAAATAAATAAAATTTCTTTAATCCAAAGAAACAGTTTTCTGGGTAAGTACCCACACGTGTTTTATTGTTGCATGAATAGTGTTTTTCCATGACTTTCTTGCGTGAACGAGTTTTCCCACTGTGTTTTGGTTCACGGTTAAGCAAGTTTTCCCTGTACCCTCTCACCGAATGGTGGGAGCCTCTTGATTTCGTCAGAAAATGAGTGTCTCGCGGATTTGCCATAGTCCGCGGTCCCAAGAAGTCAGAAAGTGCATATGTCGCACTGATTTCTCATCTTGACCTACTCTGAGAAAAGTGCGTTCGCCGAATCGCTTTCTCGTGCTCATCTGACCTTGAGAAAGTGCGTTTGTCGCACTGATTTCTCATACTGCACGGAGAGAAAAGTTTGGGCCGGGGCCGTACACCCAAAAGTTTGGACAAAATTGATAGAAAAGTACAATCCAAACTTTTACATGCGTGGTCACCAAAGTTTCTGGTGCAGAGTCCAAAGGTTCTAGTGCCGAGTCTAAAGGTTTCGGTGTGACACCGAAACCTTTAAGGTGTACTGGTAAAAGGAACAATCCAAACTCAGTGTTTCGTTGTCTGGCCGGAACTTTTCTCTCCGTGTGCTTTGATCTGGAGAAGTGCATTCGATGCACTGACCTCAAACTGACCTAAACTTGCTGCACGACCTGCGGTGTGCCCGCGGGTCGGTGAGCCTCAGGCCTGACGGGTGTGTGGCGCCAGGCCCTTGTCAACGTTCCTGGCCAGGTTTTCTTGTGTGAACCTTTTTCCCACTGGGTTTTGGTTCTCGTGTCAGCAAGTTTTCCCTGTGCCCTTGCACCAAATGGTAGGAACCTTTTACCTGTGAAGCCGCTGTGCTTGTCGATAAGTACGTGCTGTGACTATCGGCCCTGAACTGAGCTGCCTGTCTGCGCTCACCCAGCCAGAAATGGCATGTCGTAACGCCGTCATTTCGACGTCGTTGGTCGTACCAGAGGTCCAAAAATACGTCGAAACGATGAATTTTTCGACAAGTCGATGTCGATTCGACGGAATATCGATACGACGTTTCTAGCTGGGAGTCTCAAACCTGCGAAAGTCTCGTCGAAATGCGTTTCTGCTGTGGGATTTCTCATCGCGTATGGATCAGCTGATCAAGAGCTTTTCCTGTGCTGTCATCACGACAAGGCGGTCGAGCCCTCCCGTCCTAGAGACCTGCCCTCGAGAAAAAACAGGCGTTTGTCGCCGGTGTTCTCACCTCTGTACACTTATCATTGGTTTGTTCCATGCTCGTGTAAAATTCCGTGCCCTACTGAAATCTTAGGTGTGGCTTGAAGTGGTTTGTCCACTTCGCAACCGGGGTCTTTCCTTCTTAAAACGAAGGGAGGGGAAGTGTTGTGATGTGCAATCACACACGCGTTCGTCATTCCCTGAGTATTTGAATCTCGCTGCGTTTGGCGCGCGAGATAGGCAATCCGACTCCTGGTCGCTCCTGCCCACCACGTCTCCGTTCGTGGCGAGCCATCCAGCCAGCCGTGCCTGGCTGCACCTACCGGACCCTAGCGAGCTGCGCCTCGCCCACCCTGGGCGGGCGCCCTCCTGCCCGAACCCCGAACCTGGACGTGCAAGCGCCTGGCTCCCTACACAACAATTGGTAGCAGCGCGTTAAAGCACGGAGGAGGGGAAGGAGTGAGCGCCTGACTTGCTCTCACTTCGCCGCTGGACTTGGAAGAGTCAAGACGTCCCGTCCCGAACCGTACCGTATCGCGAAGTCCCTACTTACTGACTTGTGCTCAGAATGATTAGTAAACCTGAGTGTTCATCTGTCACTACTGCCTTTCCTTCCTAACGCCTTACTCCGCTGGTACACACGCTACACAACAATATCCACCTCTAGGGCCGAAAAAGTGAAAAATGCGGCAAATCCGAGGGTAGTTTCTGATTCAGAATGTGCTGTTTTTTTTTTTGGGGGGGGGGAGGTGCTTCCTCTGGCATTTTACGATTTTACGATGTTACAACTTCCTTGTTTTATATTTTTAGGACGAGACACTGGTAGTGCGAAGTCTGCCATTGCTTTGCAAAGACAAGAGACTCTTGAGCTCCTGAAAAAACTGACGGTCAAACTTAAAAATGGTGACTGTGAGACTGTCCACCTAACTATTTTGAACCCCTCTTTTCAGTCTCAGGGAGACTTTTGAGTTGAATTTCATCCACTATGGGACTGCAAAACGGGTAAACCAGAGGGTGCGGTGCAATGCATAAAATGCTGTACTCGTCTTGCTTACAAAGACAGTGAAGGCGGCACTAGCAGCTTGACATGCCACCGAGGACACTGCGTGAAGAAGGGTCCTTCGGGCACTCCTCTAGTTCCCGATTTTGAGACGAAAAAGGACCCGCCTAAAGAAGCCAAAGATAGGAGTAAGGTGGCATGTGTCCACTTCTGTTGTGGAAGTAGCATCGGGCTAAGTAATACGGCCGATGCTGCGGCCCCGCCGTATAGACAGTACACACGGTAATCAGCGGGCGACGCGTCCCGCGTGAGACGCACCCAGACATGAGGTCCTCATCGGCTGAGGTGAGGTCACCTCTGTGGCCGGGTTGTTGGCGAGCACTCGGCCCGACGCCGAGCCCTGACGGGGCGAGGGCCCCGGAGGTACAAGTAAGCCCCACCGCCAAGCGGCGGAAGAGTTCGGCCAGCATCGTCAGCCCAGACGGATCGTCCAGTCAGTCCAGAGCCGTGCGCTCGGCGCACGGCTCCAATAGGTATCTTACGTGTGTATTGATCATGTGTATCGCCCGGTGTGCCAGGTCCTGTAATACTCTCAACAACCTTCATTGATTATTAAATATAGTTACTGTTATCTACGTATTGGCGTGCCATCATTAAGCGACAGACCCCCGGCCACATCTATCCCACCGCTGCCACCAGATGTGGCCGGTAGTTCTTTCACGTTACCAGGGGAACAGGAACTGTGCAACTGTGCACTTAGTGTTGGCATGCGAATACGTA